GAGGAGAGGAAGAGGAGGAGGAGGGGGAGGAGGAGGAGGAGGAGGGAGGAGGAGGAGGAGGCGGAGAGAGGAGGAGAGGAGGAGGAGGAGGAGGAGGAGGAGGAGGAGAGGGGAGGAGGGGAGGAGGAGGAGGAGGAGAGGAGGAGGAGGAGAGGAGGAGGAGGGAGGAGATGACTTGAGGACTTGGAGGGGAGGAGGAGGAGGAGGAGGAGAGGAGGAGGAGGAGGAGGAGGAGGAGAAGGAGGAGGAGGAGGAGGAGAGGAGGAGGAGGAGGAAGAGGAGGAGGAGGGGGAGGAGGAGGAGGAGAGGAGGAGGAGGAGGAGGAGGAGGAGGAAGGAGGGCGAGGAGGAGAGGAGGGGAGGAGGGGGAGGAGGAGAGGAGGAGGAGGAGGAGGAGGAGGAGGAGGAGGAGGGCGGAGGAGGAGAGGAGGGGGAGGAGGAGGAGGAGGAGGAGGAGGAGGATGAGGAGGAGGAGGAGGAGGAGGAGGAGGAGGGCGGAGGAGGAGAGGCAGCGAGCGATGAAGAGCGAGTCCGAGCGTGCGGACCCGCTTCAGCGGGATGGAAGTTGGAAGCAACACGGCGAGGCCTCGAGTCATCGCACCGTGCCGCTAGTCCTCGACAGCGCCGTCCCCGCCGCGTCGGAAGGCCGACGGAGGAGACCTGGCGTCGAGGGCATCATGGGCATGGGTCCCCCGATCGGGGGTGCAGCCCGCGCAACGCACGGGAGATCTGCACCTCCTCGTTCGCACGCGTGGAAGCTACGTCCGAGTGCCCCTTGCACTGGGCACGCAGCTTACGGTTGCGGCCTCCAGCCACACTGAAAACCCCACAGCAGAGGCAGATGACCGTGGAACCGAAACGCTCCACACCGTGGCCAAGTTCCGAGTACAACTCCACCTCCCGATCGACCCCGACGGCGACGACGTTAGCCCCCACCCCCCCTCCCGCGGGCGGGCCTCCAGGGGGCCCTGGGCCTTCATCAAGGCCTGCAGCGCGCACGGCGGCGTCCACCGCAAGCGAGGCGTGCCGATAGCGCTCGGGGGTGAGAACGAAATAACGCGTCGCCATCGCTAGCAGGAGATCCGTGGGCTCGCATCGCCTCGCTCGAAGGGCCTTCAAGGAGCCGGGAGTCCTCGCGAACCTGTTACGATTCAGGCACCTGTATTCTGACAGGCTCTCGCAATATCGAAGCTCATGCGAGTCAGCACAACCAGGGGGGCGGTGACGACTCGACGGACCAGAGACGGCTCATCTTCCCTGGGCTGGAGCTCCACATTCTTGTTGGCGGCTGCTTGGGCCATCCATGCAAAATCATGGGAATGGTCCTTGGCCGCCTTCATGGCTTGCTTGTAATAATCCTGCATGGTCTGGCCTGTAGAGTGCATCAGAGCCCCACGCTTGGCGAAGAAGTCTGCCCACTCGTCTGCAACGAAACGGACAAAATCGCAATCAGGGGCCCCCAAGACCGCCGAGAGATCTCTGTGGGCTGGGACCCACTCGAAGGTAGGAGGAGCCTCCGAACAGATCCGACGAATTCTTTCCCACACCGCAGCGTGGCGGCCTCTAGACGAGGCAGCTGACTCCGACCAAGCACACCCCTCTCGCACCAGATTCAGGTGATCTGAAACGACAATCGCTGGCTGCTGCGCAACTTCTACTGCTTTGAGCGCTACGAAGTGCTCCGCTCGCGGCACCGCCTGTGCCGCTCCTGGGAGCGCGCCAAAAATTGCACGCAAAACATTGCCCGCATCGTCGACTTCCACCGCTGACCAGCCGCAGCGGGCCAACTCTGGGATCGACGACGCTTGGCCGCTTCCGTCCGTGAACACTCTCCGCCCCCATCGCCCACGCCAGTCCCCCCATCCCATCACAGGGTACACGTCGCTCGGGGGCGACAGCGCTGGCGGCGCAGGCGGCAAACCGAAGCTGAGATAAATTTGATCCGCTCCAGACTGCGAATTGTGCTTGGCCTTGATGGCCGCCCTAAGCTCGAGGACACGATCAGGAACTGGCACGTCCAATCCTTCTAACATGGCTTCGCACTCGAGCCATTGATGGGACTCGTTGCCAATCGCCTGCTTGCACGCGAAACACTGCGGGGAACTGCGAAGACCTATGCTGTGCAACCGCTCGGGAGTCCAAACTCCTGACGACCAGAGCGTTCGCAAGGCGCCTCGCCTCGCAACGTCTTTCACTGCAAGAACTGCTTTCCGCATTCCCCTCCTCCAGCAGCTCTCTCCAAGGCAGTTGGGAAGGTGCTGGAGGATCCTATCTACCTGCCAGCGGCGAAGGCCTTCCTCCTAGAAGGCTTTCACATCACCTGGGCAATTCCTAACTAAATCGACGTGGCGACCTCGATCGTCCACAAGCACTGTTGGAGAAAACATCGTCCAACCCACTCGCTGAAGCGTGACCCAAACAGAGGCGATGGGCCCACGAGCTCTCGTCCACGAGGTGCGATGGTCGAGCTTGGCCTTGGCCGCATCCCATGCTCTACGGAGCCGTCCAGGCACGACCCTATTGTCCCAGATGAACGAAGCAAACCTAACCACACGAGGAACCGTCGCATCGAAAATAGGGTCGAACCTGTCGTCTCTCTGCGCTGCTAAAAACAAGGTGAGCGACGCCTTGGGCGTGGCCCCGCACATGCCTCCAGCGAACGTTCGAAGCTCTCGAATAGCCGTGTCGGAGATCCCAGACGCTCCAGCGCCATGGCCGCCAGCTGGGAGGAGCCCCGTCCGCCACAAGGATTTCACAGCCTCCCCCGCGGCGTGCTTCAATCCCCACACTTTGCGCCTACGAGCCGTGAGATTCTTAAGACGCGTCCTTTCTTGCACACGCAAGACCCTAGTGCCGTGCATCTCGTGCCCTAGGTTGCGCATCGCTCGCTTCGCTCTCATGCGAAGAGGCTTGACTAATCGAGCGAATCGATCTCGACCTCGAGTCGTGTTCGCAACGAACCCTGACTTGCTCGGCTGGACTACTAGCCCTAGCGGCCTCACGCTAAGGCAAAAGCTATGAACTGCATTGGCCAAGTCTCTGGCCTGACCGTCGTTCTCTCCCACCCTGGCCCGTTCACCAGTCCAGTGGAAGCTCACGTCATCGATCAGAGCTCGTGGCTTGACCGTGGGGCATATAGTCATGCTATCCTGCAGGCTTCTATGCAATAGGACCCGTAGCATTGTAGTGGCCAAAGAACAGCCTGCTAGGATTCCCTGATTGGACTGCACTGGCACAGACAGCGAAGCAAAGGCACGCAGGCAGCGAGGTTGCAAGTAGGTCTGAATCGTCATCCATGCTAATCTCATCGGGAACTGATTCAGCCTAGCCTCGTGTAGCAGGCTCTGCAAGATGACAGTCTCATAGCATTTCAGCATATCGATAAAGACTGAGAGGCTGTCCTCTCCTATCTCGTGCGCTATCTCAGCATCAAGGTTCAAAGAAAACGCGCTGTCCGAGCTCGACCTACCAGCTCCCGTCCCACAGAAGCATTCGAGGTCATGCTCGACCTCCCAGGCGGCCGCGATGGGCCTGCGGGCTCTACCCCAGACTCTCAGAAGCGCGTTCAAGAGCGCTATCAATCTGCATCCCCCTGACGCCTTAGAGAGGCGAACTAGCTGCGTCAGCAGTCTACAAGATGGCCAGATCAAGAGACTTTCACACTTCATGAATAGCTTGGCAACGGCCGCCAGGCCTGAATTGCTCAGGAAAAGAAGACTGCGGGGTGCGAAGCTGAACTGGCCGACTCCCGTGGCCCATGGAAACTGAAGAATGGCACGCTGCACGTCTAGCACAGTCAAAGGTGGGAGCTCTTCCCAGTCCTGCGCTTCTGCTGGCAACTGTGGGGCGGCAACATCATGCATCGTCCAGATATTCTCCCATTCCCGCATGGCTTTATCGGCCAACTGATGCGGCTGGGCCGGCGCGCGAGCAGTCACATTTGCATTAACCACCTCCTGCAACGCCCTCCCCCTCGTGTGCCTATGCGCGAATCGCGCACCATTAATGAAGCTAGCTGCCGCCCAGTCCCTCCAGGCTTTGGCGGTCTTCTGGCTGTGTGCCTCAGCAAGCTCCGCTGCTTTGGCTTCGATTGCATCTAGCACTGCATCGACTTCTGGATAGACGAGGAACTCCATTCCTGAGAGAAAAACGTCAGACGCCCAGCTGTCGAGCTCGCTAAGCACGGCCGTCTCGGACAACACCTTCGCCACGAAACGACCAAGCTCAATCATCAAGTTCGACAGCTTGTGATAAAGGGCTGTGTCCAACGTGCCTGCCTCTTGCTGATGACTCACCAACGCCGTGACATTGGTGATCGCTTCCTTCGCCCTACGCATATGTCGTGCCCACCTGGCCGCGAAACTCCACGCATTGGCTGCTTTCGACAAGTACGAACGTTTCTGTTGTGGTTGCCACTGCAGTTTGACCTTCGCGAACTCGACGGGGCCACATGCTCCAGCGAACGGCTCGACCTGGGTACCAACGATGTCATGCCTGGCAAGCAGCTCCAGTTCGATTTGGCTCAACACTGCATCCCATGCCACCTGCAAGCTGCTATCGTCACACGCGGCATCTATCAGTCGTGCCACTCCATGCCATCATAATGAGAACCTCGAACATCCTGGTTTCGGCTGCTTGGGCACAGAACGCGGCCCACGAAGTTCACGATGATACAACTGGATGTCCTTACCACTGATGGGCATGTACACAAGCAAATGTGGGAAGGTGGTAGTCGCTTCCTGTACGCACGGCTGCCCAGCACGTGTCACCAAGTTAGACGATGTGAGGAAGTAGTCGATGCAACTACCAGACATAGCTTGTCGACATGTGGTCGCAACTGGAGCCCGAAGCATACCGCCTAGCCCGTGAAGCCACCGCATATCACCAAACTGCGACGCTTCAATATTGAAATCTCCTGCCACAATCCAATCGTAGCCAGCATGATTCAATTTTTCCATATAACTGCTAACCTCATGCATGATGTGTAGGTTATTGTCTGGCCAACCCTCATTGACGTAGAGATGCACTGAGACCAGCACCACTCCTCCAGGAACTCCCCAGTGGACTTGGGCAGGCAGCGCTCGACCACCAGCCAGCTCGGTCTGCCCGTTCAGGCACGGCCCACGCGTTATCAGGACGTTCGGCCTCGCCAATACAGCTAGCCCTGCCTGCGTGCCGCCATTGCCAGTGGGGTCGGCTGCTGCCCAAATGCCTTGCCAGCCCGCGTCCAGCAAACGGTGCTGCGCATCAGCCAGATCATCAGGGGCAACATGGTGTTCTTGCACCGCGACCACTGTGTGACTACAGTGCGCCATGTACCCGAGCAGCTGCTTCTCGGACGAACAATTCAACGTCGCGAGGCTGCCCTTGCTACCAGCCTGCTCTGTGGCCAAGGGCCCGCTCGGGGCTGCGCTCCGTCCGTCGGCGGCCCGAGTGGGCCCAGGGGCGAGGGGCGAGGCGTCGACCACCCGCGCGGCCGCGGCTCGCCTAGCTCGCCCCTTGCCACGGCCTTTGGCCACTAGGCCTCCAGCGCCATGGCTTGACCCGTCCAGCTCAGCGCCACGTCGGGGCCTGGAGTCGAGCGGCTGCGGACCCGCCTGGGCCGCGGCAGCCCTCCCGCTCGGGGCGCTACGTCCGTCGACGTCTCGAGCAGGAGGTCGGGCGTGGGACGAGGCGTCGGCCACCCGCGCGTCCGCGGCTCGCCCTCCCCGCCCCTTGCCACGGCCCTTGGCTCTGCCGCCGCCGCTCCGACCCAGGCAGCGCGCCCTGGCCGCCGCATCAGCAGCTCCACTGCCGCCAGGCTCCTGGAACAGTGAATTCGCAGCAAGCGACCCTGCTACCGTACCCAGCGACGGCATGGCACCCACTGTTCGAACCAGAGCCATCAACCATACAAACAGAGCACGTGCGGAGAAGTGCGCAGAGCAACAACGTGTGTGTGCCGAAGGCCGCCCCTCCCTAGGCGGGGACCTGGACCTTGGCTCGCTTCTCGGTTCTCCATTCATTGAGCCCTTCGGCCAACTTGCGAACGCCCCCGCGGATCGCTGCCTCATCGGCCTCAGGCTGCACCGCGACACCAGCGCGCCCCAGAAAAGCTCGCAGCTCCTCCAGGTTCGTGTCGTCTGGTGTTGGTACGTCGACTCCCCCAGGCGCAGGCCTGGCATCGTCTGGTGGGGCGGCCTCCCGCTGCGGCTCAGTCTTCTCTTGCTGCGCTGCCTCGGGCACCGCCCGCTCCTGGCGCTTACGTTCCTCAAGTACCCGCACCTCTTCCAAGGCCGAGTCCAACTTCGCTTGCACTTGACCGTCGTCTCCGAGTCCTGCCAAGATGCCTCCAAGCTTGTCGACCGTGATGCCAAGGGCGGCCACAAGCTCGCCCGCCACGGTTGAGGACGGTGGAGGCCTCGGCACCGTAGACGCCAGCCTAGTTTGTTCCTCTGCAATCTGCAAGATGGCCTGCTCGGCCTCGACCACCAACTGCTCCTGCTAGCGGATGGTCTCCTGCAGCTTCTGCAATTCCTGCTTGGCGGCTGCCAATAGGCCCTCGTGTTTGACCTTCTTGGAATTCCACTTAGCCGACTGGAATGACAACGATCGCAGCTGCGCAGGCACTGGCTTGGACGCCTCCAAGTCCACCCGCAACCGCTTACGCTCCGCCTCCAAGTCCTCTCTGGCCTTCTCGAAGCAGGGGTCCTTGAGATCCTTGATAGCCCGCGTGGCCTCATCGATCTCGTCAAGGCGGACTCGGATCTGAGCGGTAGTCTGCGGCGGCAGCTCCCCACTGTCCACGTCGACCTCCATTGCGTTGCTCCCTGTCTTCCCACCGGTGGCCAGCTGCTCCCGCGCCGCCGCCAGCTGCTTCTCCAGCTCCGCGACCTTGCGTGCATGCCATGGCGGCGGTGGCTCGGCAGAGGCCACACGGTCGGCACGCTGCTGCTTCTGCGAAGGCGCCGTGTGCTTGAACCGAGGCTCCAGGAAGGAAGAGGCCTTGGCGACACCACATTTCTGACATGACACTTTGTCCGATCTGTTCCACCAAGCCGCGCCTGACACAGGGTGGACGCACCAGCGGCATACCCAATCCGTCGCATCTGCACGACGCCTCTGGGCGTGCCTGCTCGTCTTCGGTGCCCGTCCATCACCCTGAGACATCCGCCCTCGCAGGCTGCAAAGTGATGTAAATGTTGAAGGGAACTTACGGTCCCGATGTAGCACGTGTAAGAGGTACCTCCAGCCTGGGCAGGCAGAGAGGAGGTACGAAAGCCTTCGGGGGCCGCTGTTCCCCCACGCCAGAATACTCAGTCCTTGAGTGAAACACTACGGACTTGAGCCAAAATGGCTACGGACGGCGGAGGAGGAGAGGAGGGGGAGGAGGGGGAGGAGGAGGAGGGGGAGGAGGAGAATGAAGTGGAGGAAGCGGAGGAGGAGGAGACGGAGGAGGAGGAGGAGGAGGAGGAGGAGGAGGAGGGGGAGGAGGAGGAGGAGGGGTAGGAGGAGGAGGAGGAGGAGGAGGAGGAGGAGGAGGAGAAGGAGGAGGAGAAGGCTGGAGGAGGAGGAGGAGGAGGAGGTCAAGCCGCGCCGCTCAGTCAGACAGCGCACCGCGGGCGCACGTCGGGAGTCGACCCCGACATCTTCGCGTTCTTCGTCGAAGCGTTCGGACTTTCTTTGCTCCGCTCACCCAGGGGCCTCCAGAGGTCCCCAGAAGCTGCTCGATTCTCGAGGTCCCTGCATACAACAGAAACGGAGGCGTCCAAGCATATCGATCCTCGTGCCTCGATCCTCCTCCGCCTCTCATCCAGCTCTACCTCCGCCTCCCTCCCTCCCCCTGCACCCCTGGCCCCCGCAAGCAAGGAGAAGGAATATATCCACCACCACGACACCTCCGCAGCCCCAGGTCGTATTATTCGTCGGAGTTTTCTCAGGCGGCAGCTCCTGGGAGGTCTTCGTGAGAACCACTCAAAGCTTTTAGGCCCGACTGAAAGGCAGTGGGCCAGACTAGCCCGGAGTACAAACCCAATATTTAGCAGGACTGAGCGGGATCAAGCTGGAGGAAGTCAGATTAAGCGGGGCAAGGCCACAGCAAGCCTTACTCAGCGTGGTGATGCTGGCTTTCGACACAGCGCGCCGATGCTGCATGCAACCTCCGAGGAGTGGCATCCGAACTCTTGGTCATCGCTTGGAGATTCTCCCGCCTCAGGGTACTAGTATTAGGTCGGGCATGTCCCCCTACAGGCGGATTTTTGATGACAATTAAATTCCCATGACTATTTTGATGGACTATTTCTGAATACTCCCCCTGTAGAGGGACATGCCCGACTGAATACTGGTACTCTCCTGCAGCTGCGCCTCCCTCGCCGAGGGCGGGCCAAGGGGACAGGTTTGGAGTCCCGAAACGGTGCGGTGACAGACCGTGCGGTGACCTCGAAACCCCCCAAGGCCTCACCGCAAGGCCCGTCACCGCACGGCCTTGGGACCCCGGAGGCCCCAGTCGCCCGAGTCGTCCTCGGAGAACGACCCGAGTCCCAAAACCGTGCGGTGACCCCGAATCCCCGCCGGCTCTCACCGCACGGTGTGGTCACCACCCCGTTTGGGGGCCCCCGAGCCAGATCGTCCCGAACTGCCGCCGGCCTGAGCCGTGACCCGAGAGCCGCACCTCCTCGCGCCGCGCGCGCGCCGCACGGCGAAGACTTCTGCGGAGGCTCAGCTCACCGGGGGGGCGGCCCTTGCCAAGAGCCCGTTTATAGTTATTCGCATCCCCAGAGATCCAACGTTTTGAAACAATCAAGACGGATTTGTTTCACAAATTTCGGCCCCTAGGAGCCCTCGCCGGGCCTCAGGACTGTCAAAAAACGACTCAGGATGAAAAAAACCGGTCCTGGGGAATGGGTCGAGACTTCTGGGGACTCCGTATTGAAAAAATCACGACATCGGATCTCTGGGTCAGCGCTTTTGACCGGCCCAGCCCCCCCTCCCCGCCTCCCACCCCCCCTCGTCCAGTCACGCTTCGCGCCGGCGCGGAAATGAGCCGATCTAAGGCCTTCCAGACGGCGCCGGTGCGAATCGTGACGTGACCAGCCCCATTCCCCCCCTCTGGGAAGCCACGCCGCGACAAAATCACGACGTCGGATGACTGGAACAGGGGGGCACTGGCCCAGGGGGGGAAACATCTACATCGAACCTGCCAGTCGATTGCGGAAGAGGGCACGATTCAACAAATAGTCCTGGAAAATATTTGGGAGAGGTCAATTGATTAGTCTCAATTGCGACGAAAACGACGCCCAGGAGCAGGGCTAACAACGGTGTTCGTTATCGCCCAGGGCGCTGCTCCGTGACGCCCCCTGGGCAGTGTTGCTCGTCAGCATACAATACACTACACCACCGACTGATTTGAAGGAGCCCGGGGACACACAAACAAATAGACACAAATCCCCGGACTCCCCATATGTTCCCAAAATTTCTGTGTGGGTTTTTTCCCCCAACACTTTCAACATTGTCCTATAGATCGTGGGGAATCGACGATTATTCGTGTCCATGCTTATTCCCTTTCCTGAACACATCGCACCACCGACTGATAGCGATCGGAGCTCGACAGTAGAGCAGCAGCCGATGAACGCCGCGGTTGCTGGGGTCGGTTTCCCCCCTTTGGCTAATCCCGCCCCAGACATTTGTCCCAACCATCCTGTGGTGTTGGGTCCTCGTTTTGAAGACGGTCCCCGCGTTCCTTTCCTCTTCTCCTCTTTTCCTCCTCCTCCCCCTCCTCCCCTCCCTCCTCCTTCTTCCATGCGTTCAACCCACCCAATACAGCGTTTCGTGGCCCAATACGGAACCCCACCGAAACCCCCACCCGGACCGCCCGAATGCGTCCCCCACACCCGATGTGGCATTTCCACCCACCCACTACAGCTTTTCGTGGCCCCATAGGGAGCTCCACCGAAGCCCCCGGTGGGACCGCCCGCATGCGTCCCCCACACCCAATTTGGCATTTTCGCCCACCTGGTACAACGCTTCGTGGCCCCATACTGAACTCCACCGAAGCCCCCAGTGGGACCGCCCGCATGCGTCCCCCACACCCAATTTGGCATTTTCACCCACCCGGTACAGCGCTTCGTGACCCCTTAGGGAGCTCCACCGAAAACCCAGTGTGACCGCCCGCATGCGCCCCCCACGCCCAATTTGGCATTTTCACCCACCCGGTACAGCGCTTCGTGGCCCCATAGGGAACCCCACCGAAGCCCCCAGAGGGACCGCCCACATGCGTCCCCCACATCCAATTGGGCATTTTCACCCACCCAGTACAGCGCTTCGTGGCCCAATAGGGAGCCCCACCGAGCCCCCCAGTGGGACCGCCCGTATGCGTTCCCCACACCCACCTTGGCATTGCCACCCACCCAGTACAACGCTTCGTGGCCCCATAGGGAGCCCCACCGAAGCTCCCAGAGGGACCGCCCACATGCGTCCCCCACATCCAATTGGGCATTTTCACCCACCCAGTACAGCGCTTCGTGGCCCAATAGGGAGCCCCACCGAACCCCCCAGTGGGACCGCCCGTATGCGTTCCCCACACCCACCTTGGCATTGCCACCCACCCAGTACAACGCTTCGTGACCCCATAGGGAACCCCACCGAAGCCCCCAGAGGGACCGCCCACATGCGTCCCCACATCCAATTGGGCATTTTCACCCACCCAGTACAGCGCTTCGTGGCCCAATAGGGAGCCCCACCGAACCCCCCAGTGGGACCGCCCGTATGCGTTCCCCACACCCACCTTGGCATTGCCACCCACCCAGTACAACGCTTCGTGGCCCCATAGGGAGCCCCACCGAAACTCCCAGTGGGACAGTCCGCATGCGTCCCCCGCACCCGATTTGTCGTTGTAGCCCCCCTCGGACAGCGCTCCGTGGCCCCATAGGGAACTCCACCGACGCCTCCACTGGGACCGCCCGCGTGCGTCCCCCACACCAATTTGGCACGTTCGCCGGCCCAGTACAACGCTTCGTGGCCCCATAGGGAGCCCCACCAAAACTTTTCGTGGGACCGCCCGCATGCGTCTCCCACACCCAATGTGGTATTTCCACCCGCTCTTTACAACGCTTCGCGGCCCCATGGGGAGCTCCACCGAAGCCCCAATGGGACCGCCCGCGTGCGACCGAAACGTCCCACACGCTTAAGTTGGTACTTTCACCCACCCTGTGCAGCGTTTCGTGGCCTCATAGGGAACTTCACCGACGGCCCCGGTGCTACCGCCCGATGCATCACCCCCCCGTCCAGCGCAGCGCTTCGTGGCCCCATAGGGAGCTTCACCGAAGAAGATATTCACAATTGCGGTGCCCACAACTTCATATGGTCGGGTCCTTCGCCAGGATAATTGTTTTTCGCTGCGGCGCGGCAGAAGCAATCCGCTCGCGCGCTCGGGCAGCTGGGGCAGAGCATATACTGATCGTCCCGTTGCAAGAGTACGAGGCAGGGCGGAGAGCGGCCGCGGAGCAGGAGGGAGGGAAGGATGAAGGAACCCAAGGACACACAAAAAAACATTCAAATAGCAGGACTCCCAATATTTTCACATATTTTCTGGGTTTTTGTCTTCCCTTCCACTTCCCATATTTTCCCATATTTTCCTGGAAGTCGGCGAGTAATTGTGTCTGTGTGTTTTTTTCCCTCCTGACAGGAGGGCACTCACAGCACGAAGGTCTTCGGCGTGAGCGGCCGGCGCGGCCGGCCGCTGCGGAGGCGTCCCGGCAGTGGGGCTAAGGCAAAGGTTACAAGCGCATCAGACATCCGATGCCAATAATTACGGGACATTCCGAGGTCACAACCCTCTCCGCAAGGCCAACAACCATTTATCCGCGGCTGTTACTTCGACGGCCCCGGGGACAAAAGGAGTTGAAACTCTTGTCTTTGGCGGCCGTGCTGGTCGATACGGGCACCCCTCGGACAATTGGGCACAGCTGCAGGAGAGAATCCCGAGGCTG